GGTGGTGGTGGGGTCAGCACACAGCACAGAGCGACTCTACTGCGACGCCCTCCTCCAGGCTGACTGCCAGGGGCTGCCCATCTACTGCCCCTTCTACCAGGCAGTGGGAGGTAAGTGTCCCCCATGCCAGGGTGTCCCCACAGTCTGCCCCAGGTGCATGCAGGGAACCGCTGCTGTATGGCAGCACAGATCCCCCTGCCCCAGCAGACACCGGTGCATCTCTGTACTACATCCCCTTCCTGCTCTGCAAAACCAGCGCTGTGCTGGCACCAGCAAAAAATTCCCCCTTGGACCAGGTGATGCTGTGTGGGCAAGGACAGAGGGTCTGAGGGCTCACACTGACACACACTGACTCTGCCCAGCCCTGCTTGGTGTGAACCTGTGGCCGGAAGAGCCAGTGCCCCAATTCCTGCTGTGCCCTGACTGGGCTTTCTTCGAGTTCCTGCCCTGCCCTGCAGAGGAGGAGCCACGGACGATGCTGTTGGATGAGCTCTGGGAGGGACGAGAGTATGGGCTGGTTGTGACAGCCCAGCCAGGAGAGTACAGGTGCTTCCTCCCTGCTGTGTGGTCCTGGGGGACCACTCACTCCAGCTCCACACACCCAGCTCTCCCTCACACTCCTCTGCCCACACAGGTGCTGTGCTGGGGAGGTGCTGAGGGTGGCTGGCTTCCACAAGCAGTGTCCCGTGGTGAAACCTGTGCGGAGGTGAGGATACCCCAACCCCTGCCCCTCACCTCGGGGAGCTGTGAGGGGGCCCTGTAGCAGGCAGGGTCTGTGGCAGTGGCAGTGGCAGAGGGTGGCAGTGACTCACCCCAGCCCCGTGCGCCGCAGGGAGAGCCAGACACTGAGTGTGCGGGGTGAGAGCATACCTGAGGAGCGGTTCTGCCAGACCCTGTGCCGTGCCTTGGGCATGTGGCCGGGTGCTCGCCTGATTGACTATGTCTGTGTGGAGAGTAGCCTGCTGGGTGAGTCCCCCTGAGCTGCTCGAGTCCCCCTTAAAGCATGGCTGGCGCTGCCCAGGGCTCTGCCGACTCTCCGGGGCCCAGCTGGGCTGAGGGCTGTGGGCAGCTCTGAACGTGCTCATGGTGCTGCTCCAGGCAACTCTTCGGGGCCCTGCGCCCCCCACTACGAGGTGTTCGTGGAGCTGCAGGGCCTGCGGGACCTGTCGGAGGGGCAGCGCTACAAGGTGAGGGGAAGGTGGGCTCTGCTCTGGGGTGGCCTGGCAGCCTCTGGGGGGGGGTAGCTGAGGGGCACCGGGACAATGGTGTGGGACCAGCACAGGCAGCTGCCCTCTCTTTGCAGCTGGACCAGTGTCTCCAAGAGGATTTCCTTGTCTACAAGTCCTTCCGCTTCAAGGGCAGCATTGGGCCCCTGCGCCTGCACCTGGTGAGGGCTGGAGCCTTCACCCGGCTGCGGGAGGCACTGGGCTCCCCTGTGCCCATGCCCAGGGTCCTGCGGGAGGAGCGGCTGCTGCAGCTCATTCAGGGCTCTGTCATCTCCTAGGGCAGCCCAGGGGTCCCGCAGCCCACTCACCCTGGGGTTCGCTTGGTGTGCACTCTCCAGGAGGGAGTGGGGCCATGTCCCTGGTGCTGGAGGTGTGGGGGTGAGGGTGCCCAGCTCCAAGGGTTTGGCAGAGCGGAGTGGATGGAGGTAGTGAGCTTGACCAAGCCTCTGCTCCCTGCTCAGTGCTGCTGCGGGGATGGAGTGGACACTTCGGAGTGTCATGGGGCAGTGGGGTCCTGCAGCCACTGGATCTGCTCACTCAGTGCCTTGGAGTGCCTGCAGCCACAGTGAAATGGGTGCCTGTGCCTTTCCTGAGGGACACCTCAGCTGTCACAGCCCTGTCCAAGGCAGAGGGCACAATAGAAATCTCTGCAGGAGCAGGAGGAGCAGCAAAGCCTTGGCTCATCACCGCACTGAGCGCTGGGGCCCTGTGGCATTTTGTCCTCTGGCAGGGACACTGGGCAAGGCACAGGTGGCTGGTGGTGGCAGGTGCCATGGAGCAGCCCCAGCCAAGCTCTAGTGCACATCCACTGGTTTAGGAAAGAATAAGCTCCAGCGAGGGATGCTTTTAATGTTTTAAAAACAGAAGCAAAGTAAAGGAGGATTATCTCTTAAAAAATAAATAAAGGGCCGTGCTCTGGGATTGATTTTTTATACTATTATTTTTAATCCTCATTAAAGAGATTGCTCGAGCAATCTGACTGCTCTGGGGACTGAGGAGTCACTGCCATTCTTGGGGGTCCTGGGGAAGGGGCAGCCATGAATATTTAACCGGCTCAGCGGCTGACTGGGCTCTGGAGGCTCCGGGTTCTTTGTGCCTTTGAGGCACACGTGTATCATCGGGAGGGACTGGTCCTTTCCCCACCCGTTTGTTATGGGTTATTTTAAGGGCTGATGAGGGCATGTGGGGCACCTGCTGTGCTGCAGCTGCTGCTGGGCGACTGCTGGGCCGCGGGCAGGGGATGATGTCTTGGACAAGGTTTACACAAAGCAAAGCATCCCCCTGCACAGCCGAGACCCCTGCCAGGGATAACGGGGGTTGGGGCCCCTTACACCCTCCCTGCTGGAAAAAATTGGAGCAAAATTTCTTCTGCAAGTCGAGGAGAAGCATTGCCTTGGGCTGGGGGTGGCTCCCTGCAGCAAAAGCCTGGAGACCCCTGCCTGGGAGAGCTGTGTGTGGCCAGGGCTGCACTGGCTGGCTCTGCTTGCACTGCCCTGCCGGGACGCCGACGGTACTGGGGGTGCAGGCTGGTGGGGGGGACTGTGCTGGGCAGGGCCAGGCTGTAGGGTGCCCACCTGGGTGTGGGTGCCAGGCTGCAGGGTGCAAGGTCGACTTTCAGTGCCCGGCTGCAGGGTACAGCTTGTTTTGGGTGCAGGTTTGTTTGGGCTGCTGTTACTAAGGCTGCAGGGTGCAGGTGCATAGCTGCAGGGTGCCAGGCTGGGGTTGGGTG